ACAGGTCACCTATCTAAAGTACAGATATTTCTAACAGATCTATTAATATTAAAAAGAAGTAAAGAAATGAGGCAAATTACTTATGCTTTTTGAAAAAAATCAAAACATGATCAAGGAACCCATACATTTTAATTTTTTACTTAGTAGATATATAATTAAGATAATTAAAATTATAAATTTTTAAGTTATGGAAATATTTCTGAATCCTTGAAATTTTACTTTCAATTACACAGGGAAACATAAGGTTAGCAAAAGTATAAAACTATCAGTAAGGGATATATTTTAAACACTAGTAACAGCCAAATTAAACTTGGGAAGGCAGCATTAAGGATCACAAGAAAATGGAAGTAAATTACAAAGAAATAAAGAGGGCAATAAACAAAAAGAAACCGAAATTGTGAAAGACAGAATAATAATCTAATGACTAGAAAATGTTAAATTTAAAAACTAGACATGAGAAAAGCTAATATATTAAGTAAGGGATTCTTTCAAGTACAGTATACCTCAATCTGGTACTAATACAGTTTTTCACCTCAAGGAGGTGAAAAATAAATACTTAATAAAGAATTATGAAATAAAGAGCGGAATTAATGGTCAAAATCACTACATTACTTCAAGAAAGACTTTTGGTCACAGATTTCTTTTGGAATCTTATAGTACCAAAAACTCCTCTGAAAGGAAATAATCTAATTTTGGGGACAAAAACTTGGTTTTAATCTATGATTTTACACTGGAGAATATAAGCATACTATTATTAAAAACCAGAGAACAGCAAAAGCCTATGTCGTGAGACCATACTAAAATCACCTATCTCAACTGCAAAGTTTTAATCAAAGCATGGTGAAGTTACTATCATGAAACCTAATTTTATGTGTTCTAACAAAAGCTGTAAGAAGTTTTTGTACGCTTTTAATGAATGTTTATATTTAGTCCTTAAAGACCCTAGTCTGTCCCAGGATGAAATTAGGAACCCTGGGGAAGGACAGATTTCCCTGTGACGCTAATCACCCTAGAGAAGACTTGAAGTTTTGTTTCATTCAGTCACAGAAGACAGTCAACTGATTCTTTAAAATGGTAACATGCTAATTTATCCAATCAGAAAAATGTTCCGTATGTTTTGAAAGTATTTTGCTATCTCTACTTAAAATTTTTACTAGTGATTGTGAATAGTTTTTTTATGACACTTGCTTATATATGGTTCAATGAACTGGTATGTGCAAAAAACTTTGCCTGTCCCAAAGTGAAATCAGTAAACTTGGATGGAGCATTAGAGTTTTTATTGTGATCCTTACTCTGGAGAAACTAAAGGATCCTGTCAAAAAGAATGAGCACTGACTCGTAATATTCAGGCCTTTTACATGTAACATAATGATTCTAGATTACAATGGTTTAAAATATTCTTCATCCAAATCTTTGCAATCTATCTTTGAAGCTAACATACTGGGCAGTAATCTTCAGGGTACTACAAAGGGCATTTGCATTATGATCACCTAGGTCCTAGAACAATTGTTCTCAAACTTTAGCATAAACAAACTCATCTGCTCATCTGGTAGGATCATTTAAACACCAATGCCAGCCCCTCAACCCCAAAAGTTTCTGATTCAGGGGGTACAGAGGACTGAGAAGGCAATGTTCCCCAAAGTTCCCAGGTGATGCAGCTGCTGCTGACAGGAACTACACTCAAGAGAATGACTATCATAGATAACAATATATAGATATACTCCTGGGCCCCATGCTAGGATTTTGGTGACTGGGGTCTTGAGATCTGCACCGTAGCTAACTCCCAGGTAAGAGTATTAAGAACCACAATTTGAGAACCACTGTAACAATTTGGCAGGTTAATATGACTATTACTGACCAATGTTATATGTTACATCATAAGTTACAAATATAAGTGAAACTGAAATAACACTAAATGACCAACCCCAGAAAAGTGGTGATGTTTGCTGTTAGGTCAGAATAAACTAATAGCAGACCCTCCAGCATATTTTCAGAGGCAGGAGCTTACATAGGAGGAGACTGGCCATCTTTCTTTCAAGGAGCAGCTGGTGGTTTCAAACTGTGTGCCTTTGGGGTTGCAGTGCAGCTTCTCATCACTCCTGAGGCCCCCAGAGCTCTGCAACCTCAGTCTAGTATGATACGAATAACACAAGAGACTCTGCTTAAAGTCTAGCTCTATCACTTACTAGCTTTGTGATATTGGGAAAGTTTCATAAATTCGCTGAATGTCAGTTTTCTTACCAATAATATGAGAATAATAATCAATTTGTGAGGATTAATGGTAATGTACATAGAATACCTAACCACAGTGCTTGGCATACAGTGGGCAATAGATTAATACTAGCTAATATATATATGAGGAATATTTCCTTTAGTATAAGTCAATCAAAGTAGAGTTTTCATTCATTTAAATGCTGTATTTATACTCTAACGTAACAGAATAATAAAAAAAAACATTTTATCTATTGTTCTCTACTCCAGACCAGATAGCATTCCAACAATTTTACATATATTCTCTCACTTAATCCTTCTAAAAATCCTGTGAGGTAGATAGCATTATTATTCTGTATTTATAGATAAGAAAACCGAGACAGAGGGAAAGTACACAACTAAAACTTACAATGCTAGTAAAGTGATAGAACAAGTCTTAAACCCAGACAGTTTGACCCTAAAGTCCAGGAATTACCACAATTTTAATTTAATTCCCTAAGAACAAAATTCAAGGTTTTTAGGTATTTACCATAAACCATTTCTATGTCGAGTAGTGAAAAACCGCACAGATAAATTGAAAACAAATTTACATACACAGGTGTTCAAAGAATGGAACCGAATCACTTGATATTCTGGCAGACAACAAAACACAGAACAAAAAGCAATTTAACACTGGTCAGTGTTTTCACTAAGTAGAGAAAGTAACAATGAATTGCTAAAATGAACATTCTCTCAAACACAGCATCCAAAGCAGTCATGGTTTTGGCACAATAAATAGAATTCATTCAGCTCAGTGGAAAAGTAAATGGCATGACAGAAATGTAAAATTAGCATAAGCATTAAGTGAAACATAAATCGTTTATAACATTAAAAAAACAATGAAAAATATTGTTATGACACACTTAAATACTATTGCTTCCCCCCCCCAAAAAAAAAAAATCTTAAACTCATTGCTTTGCAACTGGAACCAACTCAAAGCTGACCCTTCACTGGGTTTCTAAGACTGTAAACTGCAAATGAGGAGACTGCCCATATTTTTCACTTGGAGCAGCTGGTGGATTTCAAACCGTTAGAGAGGTGCAGTCTTCAGATTTTACTCCTTATGGACTAGACCAACAGAGAAATCACTGACTCTTGCTAAAGTCAGTGAAAACAAAAATTGTTCTTTCCAGTATCTTTTTAAACAGACAATTGATAAAATTGGGGGATGGGGGGAGCAACAAAAATTGTGACCCCTTTTTAAGATAGTCTTAGGTTAGTATCTATTTTGTTGAAATTATTCCTTGGCAAGATTTTATAATCTCCAAATAGTTAAAAAAAGCAAAACCAAAATTCATGGCCAGAGTCAGAACTAACTCCCAGCTCACCCTCCAGTGTGCTTCTGAGGCCTGTAAACTACACAGGAGGAGACTGCTCACCTTTCTCCCATGGACCAGCTGGTAGGTGTGAACCACCAGAGAGGAGAGGTGGCCTTTGCGTTAGCAGCACAAGCCTCAACAAAGCAGGCCACTAGAGCTCCCTGAACAGTCCAAGTCAGCATCAAATTTCAGGCTATTCTTTACAAAGTGAGTATATGGTCTTTTTTTTTATCAGTGAAGCAGTTTATTTCCTCACCAAAGTATATGGTCTTTTAATATCTGACTACCTTTTCATTTAAGTACTCACCATTTTTCAATGTTTTCAACCAACTCTAATCAAAATTTTGCCAAAGTAACTAACAGTCACTTATATGCTGAATAGGAACTGTTAAAAAACTGCTTTAAATAAGTTATGACAAGCACAAACAAGTTCTCAGCTCTCAACAGGATGAGAATGAAAGAACTAAAATTATAAAGTTGGAAAGTCCTGAAATAATCAACTAAAATGTTACATGTAATTCCTGAGAGTGGCGCTGATATAAAAGCATACCCAAATAGCATTAAATTTACTATTAATTACCCATATTTAAAAATGGGTACAGTCAGGGGCTAAACACTCTTAAATACATGTTTATAGAATGTTGTAAATATTTTAAGTAAATAAGAATTAATTATGGAGAACAGTATTCAAGATTCGGTTAAACATACTTAGAAATAAGACAACAAGGGCATGGTGAATACTATTCATTTTAGTAAAAGATTAATCACTATTTAGAATCAAGTATACAATATAATCAAGGCCCATCATAATTTTAAAATGAGTTTATTAATGCACTTTAGGACAAGTGCTATTCTTACTCTATCTTTTTTTAAAAAAATACTGTCAATGATAACCAATCACAGAAAAAAAACTTTCATTAGACTAAAACAGTATGTGTTGGGTAAGAGGAAGTTTGGTTCACTTATGCCACATTGCAAATACAAACTCCTATCTTGAGTTTACAAATAACACTGAAAAACAGTATTTCCTTCTAAAATTTTCTTTAAGGCAGATCTGTTTAGCATCATGTAAATCTTACTAAAATGGTACTGTGTAGTGTTAGTAAATTTAACTGCTTCTCAGTGACAATAATATAAGTGGTTGGGGACAGGCAAAAAAAAAAATCTCTTTTCTAGTTTTTCTAAGCTGGTCACCATTTAAAAAGGGCAAGTTCTTCATGTGTATGTGTGTCTATATATTTAGATATATTACTGTATCAAAAACACATTTTAACATATTTCACAGCTCTTTTAAAGCTTCAGTTTACAGTCAGTTCATATGAAAGCTTTCTAATATGCAAGGTTCACTGGTATTCCAGTGTTCTATATCAGAAACACAAAAGTCCTTCAGTGCAATGTTGTAGACATTTTACCTCTGTTCATAATTTTCTTTCAAGGGTTTCCTAATTTTGCTTTTGGATCTTCACTTTTGTATGCTTCACTCATTTCTCTTACTAAATTCTCAGGTAAGGCAGGCTGATATCTGTACAAATATCCATATGGACGAAGATGGTAGATGAGGTATTCTAACTCATACATAGTTACAGGGTCAACATAGTGAAAAGAAATAGCAAGATCCGAACAGCAACCGGGACCCTAAAAAAGGAGTGAAAATAGGCTTTAATAGTAAACAAACCATTGTTAACATGCAGTATCCATGTAACAATAAAGAAAACGCTAATTTTAAAATAATTCATACATTAAAACAAGTTTGGTAAGGCAGGCTTACCTCATTTATTATACTTGTGGAACAACCCAAATATTCTCAAGAGAGCTCAATGATTTAAAAACGAAACAAGCAACTGTCACATTATTTCTAACCAGAATATATTCTTTCCTATGCTTCAGTACTTCAGTGCAAAAAAAAAAAAAATCTTGAGACTCCTACAGATAAAAAGTGGTAGCTATATTGAGGATAAGCCTCAATTTCTCCAAATTCTGCTTTCTCTACAATTTCTCACTATTATTTTTTGCTTGATCCACCCTCAGAGAGACATCTCCGGTTTCATGTCTGCAATTTACAATGACTGCAACAAATGAGCTTGAGCACAGGAGTTGATGGCACATGATAGGTTAAGTTCCTATCTACTATTCACAGGGTTGCTGTGAGCCATATTTAACTTGAAAAGATCAAACAATATAGAATAAACCAAACCGTAGTGTCTGAGAGAGGAAGCTCTAGAGTTACACCAGGCTTTGAAAGAGAATTCTGCTTTCTAGAGTACAGAAACTCTAGCACACTTAATTGTGCTCATGCAGCACCTCTACACAGACCAAAGGTAGTCATTAGAAAGAACAAGCAGATACTGCATGATTTTAAATCTGGAACAATGTGTTAGGGTTATATTCTCTGATTGTAATTACTCTACTTAGATGTTGAACAAAAAAATAATCCAAGAAGCTGAACTACTGAACTCCTTTTCATCTCCACTCTGGAAGGGTTGTTTTGTCTTTGTCCTGGTTAAACGCAATAAAATGGTCTCTACAGAATGTGTCTGAATCTGTAGTGTCTTGTCTTCCCTAGTACAAGATGGTGATGTGGATGAGATCCATAGGTGTCTTTCCCAATGGGACTCCCAGGGATCAAAGACCAGAACAGACTCAAGAAAGGATTTCATGCACCTCTTCTCTAATCCAAGGGACCCCGTGAGGTGAGCATTCTTGGATCTGAGCCTCTTACTGCAGTTGGGTCTTGTAGCAAGGGCTGACTGCTCAAAACGGCTTTCCTAGCCAGTAAGTTTGTCTCTGCCACATGGATGTGCAGGATCATACAAATAAGGTGTGATCCACAAGAGGATGGCTAGTCTCCACAAGAGGATGGCTAGTCTCCACAAGAGGATGGCTAGTCTCGCCATGCCACTAGGTTTAAATGGAGAGATTTCCATGGCAGAAATGGGCAATGTCAACCAACAAGGAGGATGAAGCAGTGGTGCATCCTTCAGGGCCAGAGATTTTTGTGCCAGCCAGACTAAAATCTACACAAGAGCAATAGCAGCAGCCTCAGCAGAGACTCAGAAACCAACACGAGACAGAGCTTAGAGCGGCTGACCCACAGAGCCAGAGCCCTTCATCCACACTTGCTGGAGGACTGAGGGAAGACACCTTAATTGGCACAACTAAGGGAATTTTGTAACACTGACATAGGTTGTGAAGCTGAAAGTCAAAGGGACTGAGGGACTGTTATCTTGCTGCTTAACTGTTACCTTCCCAGTAAATCCCCTATTCGTGACTATGGTACTACAAAGTCTGTATACTACTCACTGCAACAGATTTTGGATCCCGGAGAAAAATAAAACTGATGTTGGAATTATTAAAAAGTAGTCTAGACGTGGGGGTGCATGTATGACCTTACAACAATTAGTTTTATCCTGTGGATGCTGTTGATAGAGGCAGTTCCTCCTAGTGGAACTAGCAGAGGTCAGATTCATCCCTAGGTTGCCCTTACTCTTTTTACAGCTTTCCAAGACCCCCTCTTAAAGAGCTGATATGTATTCTTCCATCTGAAACTCTTAGTTCCTTCTGTTCATTAGCTGGCACTGTCATCCTCAGGTGTAGGTAAAACTGTCTCTGCTACTTTCTTAAAGGATTCAGAGAAAATTAACAGATGAATTTGTAAGAAAATGGAAATATTAGGTTTTATAAGATAGCTCTTACATAGGTCTAAGATTCCGTTTAGCACAATCTTGTAAACAAAACTGCATCTGATACTTTCCATAGATGTATGTATCTCAAGAGAAACTACACACTGATTTTTGGTCTAATAAATTCTCCACCCTCACTCCCACAACTGATCTTTTGCAAGAGTCTGTTTTCCCTCACTAGTGACAGTAGTGAAGGGCTCTGATTCTGCCTTTTGCAAGATGCTGTAGATCCCAAGATATTTCCGAGTTTGTGGAATCTTGAGTTCTATTAGCCACAAAAACAAAGGGCATATGACGATCATTAGAAGCCATAGGGAGGGTACCAGAAACTGTGAAAGACAGTTACAGGTTTCTGTGTCAGGATCAGTCAGGTGAGAATGGGCCAGAAGCTGAAGGTAGTGCCTCTGCAACCTTGAAGCACACATGATGTAAGCAGTAAACAGGCCAAACTTCTAGTTTCTATCTCAGAGGGATCTTATTAACTCTAAGAGTCTTAAATTTTAACAAACAATAACCTTCTCTGAAATTGGAAAATGCTGAATCAGAAAAATCTGATACAAAGACATATACTGTGGCTCTGTTACTTGCTTGCATTTATTTTCTTAAGATTACGTTTAAGAATAGTCTAGAAAAAGAAATGGCTCTTGCTAAAGTTCTCGATGCAGTGAATCTGAATCCCATAAGGCTGACTTCCTGCTGGAAATCGTATTTCACCCTGTGAAAGTAAAGTTTCAATCTAATTCTTAATGTCCTTGATAAATTAGTTGGGGACTAACTCACGTGACCCAAGCCATGGTATTTCCAACTGCCTTATGTGGATGCAAAAGTGAGACAATAAAGAAGACTGAAGAAGAATTGATACCTCTGAGTAACAGGCTTAGTCAAGAAGTGAATATACCAAGAATTGCCAGAAAAAGGATTAATCTGTTTTAGAGGGAGTACAGCCAAAATGTGCTTTAGAAACAAGGATGGTAAGAATGTTTCATTTCTGTTATTCATGTTATCAAAAGGTACCATTCCCTAGAGATGGATATAAGAATTGGGTAAGGGACAGTAAGACAGAAGCTGACTTTCAGTATGACACAGAGGTTGCAGCAATGGGTTCAAACATACCAACTAATGTAAGGACAGCACAGGGTTCAGCAGTGTTTCACACTGTTGTCCCAAGGATTAACTATGAGATAAAACTGGAACTTCCTAGGGTGATGTTTCTTAATAGTAAACACTAGGTATTACTGACAGAATGATCATATTCAGATGTATCTCAGGTCAGATTTTTTAGTAGGAGAGTGGGAGAGTCGTGAGGTGATGCAGTTAAGTGGTTCGACCACTAGCTAAAGGTGGATAGTTCTAACCTACCTAGGGCCACCTCTGAAGATCAGCCTGGTGACCTGCCTCTAAACCCCTACTGAGTAATTATATTCTACACAAAAGAATTACCACAAGCAACAATTATGTGGATGGGAACCAGCAACATTAACATAGTTCTCAAAGGATCGTAGTAGGGTTGGTTTGAGAACAGGTTTGAAGCAAAATAAAAACAAAACCAGAGGTGGGAGGTGTGGAAAAAAAATCAGAAAAAGAATTAAGACTGAACTGATGGTGTTAAATTGCCACAAGTCAATCTGGGTCTTAGGACTGTATCTGGTAAATGTTTCAGCCAGGTGACTCTAAACACCTTCAGACCTTAATGTTGTTAGTTTCAAGGACCAAGGTGATAAAGGTCTTGGAAGTTCTCAGAGAAGATTCATGTCAAACTATGGAATATTTAATTTTTTCATTGAATTTTGTCCTTTTTGCTGATCTTTCCTTTGCAGCAAACAATGAATATGAGGGATCTTTGGACAAAGAATAAAAAAATGATCTGGTGCTTACTTCGTACATGTGTTGGAATTATATTAGAATATGATATGCACAGTAAACATTATTCAATCTGTGGTTATGATCTATCTAAGCCACATAATATTAAATTTCTAAAATCCACATGAAAAAAGTAAAACTAGGAAATTCTGTAACTTGTTTAACATAAAAAAAATATTACTTCAATTTGCAGTAAATATTTTTAAAGATATTAATGAAATTACTTTTATTTGTAGCATCTTTGAAATTAGATGTGCCTTTGAAGCACAAAGCATGTCTCAATTTGGCCTGGGCAAATTTCAAGTGCTCAAGATGCATTCATGACCAGGGCTGTACATGGATGGATATTGTTATATGGCGTTGAGTCACCTGCAACTCATAGTGACCTTATGTACAATAGCACTAAATCCTGACCTGTCCTGGGTTAACCTCACTATCTCTGACACACCCACACCAATTACCCCAGTCACTGAATCAATCCATCCCATGGAGGGTCTTCCCCTCCTGCACTGTCCCTCCACCCTCCCAAGCATGGTGTCCCTCTCCAAGGACTGGTCCCTCCTTGCAACATGTCCAAAGTATGCCAGACGAAGCCTCAGAATCCTCACCTCCAAGAAGCATTCCGGTTTAACCCTCTCCAGGACAAACTTGCTTGTTTTCCTAGCAGGCCATGGTACATTCAATACTCCTCTCCAGCACCACAGCTCAAAGGCATCACTTTTCCTTCTATCCTCCCTAGTCATTGTTCAACTCTCTGACGCATAATAAGTGACTGCAAAGACCATGGCCTGTATCAGGTGCACATTAGTCTCCAGAGTGACACCAATGCTCCTCAGTACTTTGGAGAGGTCCCTAACAGCAGACTTTCCCATCGCAATATTATTTTTAATTTCCTGGCTGCTGGTGTCAAGAGTGTTGACTGTGGAGCCAAGCATACTAAAGCTGTGAACAATCTCAATCTCTTCACCATCTATCCTGATGCTACCAATTGGTTCAGTGGTGAGAATCTCTGTCTTCTTGACACTGAGCCTCAATCCATATTGAAGGCTGCAGTCTTTGACCCTCTGCAGCAAGCACCTCCGTTCCTTCTCAGTTTCAGCAAGCAGGGTTGTGTCATCTGCATAACACAGACTGTTGATGGATCTTCCACCAATCCTGATGCCACACTCCTCCTCACAGAGCCCAACCTCCCGGATAATCTGTTCTGCATATATGTTGAAAAGGTATGGAGATAGGACAGATCCCTGGCAGACACCTTCCCAATTTTGAACCAAAGTTGGGAACAGAGAAGAATCAGTAGTTGGCAAACATGGACTCGGTGACAAAAATGAAGCTGGGGATAGAATGATTGAATTTTGCACAATCAGTGATTGCAATAGCAAATATGTTTTATAAAAAAAATATATAAATGCAGGTTATACACATGGATTTCACCTGATGGTATGCAGAATCAGACTGATCAGCTGTGAAAACTAGGCCAGGAGCTGACTGTGGAACAGACCAACTACTCATATGCAAGTTCAAGCTGAAGCTATGGAAAATTAAATCGAATCCGTGGGAACAAAAATATGACCTTGAGTCTATCCCACCCAAATTTCAGAACTATCTGAGAAGCAGGTTTGAGGCCTTGATCACTAATGAGAGAAGATCAGATAAGTTGTGGGAGGGTATCGAAAGTATTATCCAGGAAGAGTGTAAAAGGTCATTACAAAAACAGAGGAGAAAGACAAGACCAAAATGGATGTCAGAAGAAACTCTGAAGATTGCACAGGAGTGCAGAGAAGCCAAAGCACAAGGAAGAATTCAAGATACTAAAGAGCTGAACAGAAGATTTCAAAAGGCAGCACAGAAAGACAAAGTAAAATACTACAATAAAATGTGCAAGGAGCTGGAGTCAGAAAATCAAAAGGGCCAAACTCGCTCAGCATTTCTTAAGCTAAAGGAACTGAAGAACAAACAAATTCAAACCTCGGGTTGCTATATTCAAGGATGCTTTAGGCAGAATATGAAATGATCCAGAAAGTATTAAAAGATGGAAAGAATATACTGAGTCACTGTATCAAAAGGAATTGGCAGACACAGAAGAATTTCATAAAACAAGATATGAGCAAGAACCTATTGTGATGAAAGAATAAGTTCAAGCTGCCTTGAAGAAAATAGCAAAAAATAAGGCCCCAGGAATAGATGGTATACCAACTGACATATTTCAGCTAATGATGCTGCCCTGGACGTGCTCACCAAGTTGTGTCAAGAAATCTGGAGAACAACCATTTGGCCAACTAACTAGAAGAGATCTATATCTGTTCCCATTCCAAAGACGGGTGACCCAACAGTGTGGAAACTACAGAACAATACTCATTTCACATACACTGGGAAAATATGTTGTCAGGGACCTCATCGAAGTATTAATAAGCAACAATGTCAGTCTAAAGCTAAGGTGTGCCTGATCCAGACCATGGTTTTCACATATTACTTGCTATGCCTCAGAGAGCTGGACAATGACTAAGGATGACAAAAGAATCATTGATGCCTTTGAGTTGAGGTGCTGGAAGAGAGTCTTGAACATACAATGGACCACCAAGAAAACAAATAGGTTTGTCTTGGAGAGGGTCAAACCAAGCTTCTCCTTGAAGGCTGGGATTTTGAAGCTCCATCTCACATACTTTTGGGCATGTAGCCAGGAGAGATTGGTCCTTAGAGAAGGACATCATGCTTTGAAGGGTGGAGGGTCAGCATAGGAAAGGAAGACCCTCGGTGAGACAGACTGAAGTAGTAACTAGGTCAATGGGGTAGGTGTGTCAGAATCAGTGACTGTCTCAGCACAGGGCAGGGTTCAGAGCTGTTGTACATAGCGTTATTTTGAGTCACAGGTAACTCGACAGCATATAACAACATACATACATACTTTGGATATGTTATCATAGCACCAGTCCTAGGAAAAAGATATCATGTTGTGCAAGTATAGGGTCATCTAAAAAGATGACAACCCTCAATGAGATGGACTGACAGAGTGACCATGACAAGGGCTTGCGCATGAGGGAGATCATGAGGATGGTGCAGGATAAAGCACAGTTTTGACCTATTGTTCACAGAGTTGATAGAGTCAGAATTGACTAGATGGCACCTACTAACAATAATAACATATTCTCAGTGCCCAGTATAGAGTATTACCCACAGATATTTGTTTTTATCCAATTTACTATACTTCCATTCTCTATTTCTAGAGATATAAAAAAGTATCTAACCATTTCTGTCCTTTCATGTAAAATTAGAAAAGATTTAATTGCTTAATAACTTATTACTATATACATTAAAAAACAAAGAAAAGAAAAACACATACAGGAAACTCCTACTCAGTATTACTAAAGAAATATAAATAATTCAAGTTAAAAAAATCATTAAGTCATATTAAATATTTTAGTTACAAAACTTATAACTTACCTCTACAGGAGGATAATAATTATAATTCCAGTACCAAAAGGTTTTGGGTAGATAACCCTTGATTAAGTGGTGTTCCGGTACAAAGGGATGAAAAGTTTCTTTTCCAGTGGTATCTCTGGAATCACCTGCTTCTACATTTAGAATCTCCATGCATCTCCCCAGTGCTAAGTCTTCGATGGAGGAACTATGTGTACATTTGTCTGTTTTAAATGCATCCACAAATCTCTTCAAGGCTTCTTTGCTCAGTACATATCCTGCTCCGCCACTCATGTAGCCCTGCTTTACATAGGGCTTAAATCTTCTCCCAAAATAAATGGGTTTTTCAGGGTCATATTTTGAGAGAAGCCACCTCAAATTGTCTAGTACAACATAGGTATCATCATCTGCTTTCATAAACCAATCAGCATCTTCTAAATAATGGTCGTGAACATACTGAAAAGCTTTAATTGTTTTCCAATACAGTTGGTCTCTGCCTTCTTTAGTTTTTAATCCTACAGCAGGGAAAGCTTCATTTTCTTCTGAACTCATAAACAAAACTTTATTACAACGCTGGGCCCATGTGGCCTTGACATGTTTGGCTTTTTTCTCTAGATTTTGAGGGCCTGTCATTACCCAGCAAAGAACTTTAACTTTCTGATACAGTTTTTCAGAGACATCTGTGTTCTCATCTATTAAATAAAACAAAAAAAAGATAAAAATTAATACATACATATGAAATCCAAAATTATATGCAAGACAACATTTTCTTAAATAATTTCAAAAACCTATCACCTATCATTAGTGATTCATTAGTGAGTCACCTGGAAAAAAGCAAAAGTTAACCCAATGTGAGCTGGCATTCTATTTTATTGGTTTCATGTCAATCTTATCCAAGAGATCATTGGAGCTAACAAGAGTTGTCACTATAGCTTAAATTCACGCCACTCAAACAATATAGTTCACTGAGCAGACAGCAATGGTATCACCTGGAGCTTGTTAGAAATACAGAATCTCAGGCCTCACTCTCAATGTACAGAACCATTTTAACAAGTTCTTTTGGTGATTTGTATGTACCTTAAGCACTGTCTTAAACAAACTCTGCTTTTCACTTTATACTACAAAAAAGTTTCAGGTGATTCTCAACCAGACAGCAAGAGAATTTATCAAGCTCTGAATGAGAGTCTGGAAGATAGAGGAGAGATGATGGTTAAGTGGCAGTAATTTATTTCATCATTTTGGGTCTCACGAGGGTCAATTAATTTTCTACAAATTATTAATATCTAAAAGTTTCATCTCATACACTTTGGGCATGTTGCTAGGAGAGGCTATTCCCTGGAGAAGGACATCATGCTTGGGAGAATGGAGAGACAGCGAAGGAGAGGAAGACCTCATCCAGGTGAGCTGACACTCACTGCAGCAATGGGATCAAGTGTGTCAGAGATTGTGAGGATGGTACAGGATAGAAGGTTCAGATATGTTGCTCAAAGGGTCACTATAAGTAGTATTTAATGGCGCTTAACAACAACAACTACAATAACACAAGTTTTAAAAATTTTCATGATTGTCCCAGTTTGAAAAAGTTAAGGGGGGGCTGAGATTACCATGTGGCAGTAACTTACCTGACTGCTTGCTAGACACAAATCCACCAATTAAGAGCACACACGTTAGAGGAAGCTTTTCTGAGACTATCTAAAAGAATGCTAGTCAAAGTACATATTTGCAAAGAAATAAGGAACTTAAGCCAAAAGATAAAACAACACATTACAGAGTCTCACAATTAAAAAAAAAATCTACTTAACTAAACAAATAGATTATAGCGATTTAAGTGATTTATCTGTTGGTATAAACTCCTTATCTGAGTACAAATGGGTAATAAACAATTTATGGGCTGCTAGGCTTAGGACTACATTTTGAGGAGCACTGGTGGATCTAAACTATAAGACCCTAGACTAGTGCTTTTTAAACTCTGTGGAAGAGAAATGATTTTTACTTTGAAAACTGGGAAACTATCCTTTACTTGTAATATATGATAAAAATTAATTACTTACACTTAAAAAGAATGTTAAAATTATTTTAAAAGAAAGAAAACTCCACTGAAATTAATAAAATTAAAAAAAGAAAACTCTATATTAATGCATAGACACACACAAAATTACTGTCAAATTAACTTGAAGCTTTTAAATACTTCCTCTCAATTCCCCTATTGTTTAACCAAATTAGTAACAAGGTGTGGATAAACAATTCTGAAGTTTGCACTTTGAGTAAAAGTTATCTTGAGGAAAACTAAACTCAAACTCACTACCATCAGGCTGACTCCAACTCTCTTAGTTTCTGAGGTTGCAAAGATGGGGATCACCCATCTTTCTCCCACATCCTAAGAAAGCAAACACTTAAAGTTAAGCTCAACCAGTGAATTGCAACTATCTCTTCCCTGTGAAGAATGGACAACTGGAGGCATGAAGTAAGAAAATTTGCTTACTAAGAGAGAAGTTTGCTTGGCTTCAGGGTTAATGCTCTTGGCACCAGTAGCCAGGAAATAAAAAAACATATTGCGATGGGAAAGTCTGCGGTTAGGGACCTCTCTAAAGTACTCAAGAGCAGCGGTGTCTCTCTGGAGACTAAGGTCCGTCTGATACAGGCCATGGTTTTTGCAATCACTTGTTATGCATCAGAGAGTTGGACAATGACTAGGGAGGATAGAAGGAGAATTGACGCCTTTGAGCTGTGGTGCTGGAGAAGAGTATTGAATGTACCATGGACTGCCAAGAAAACAAACAGATTCATCCTAGAGAGGGTTAAACCAGGCTACTCCTTGGAGGCAAAGATTCTGGGGCTTCGTCTGACATACTTTGGACATGTTGCAAGGAGAGACAGGTCTTTGGAGAGGGACATCATGCTGGGTAGAGTAGAGGGACAGTGCAGGAGGGGAAGACCCTCTATGAGGTGGACTGATTCAGTGACTGGGGTGATCGGGATGGGCATATCAGAGGCAATGAGATTGGCACAGGATAGAGCACGGTTTAGGGCTGTTGTACATAGGGTGGCTATGAGTCACAAATGACTCGACGGCACATAACAACAACAACAACAAGAGAGAAGAAAGAATTGGGGGAGCAGGGTATCAAAATAGTCTCATGATCCTCTGAATATAAAAAAAAAAAATTCGTAACTCAAAAGCAGAGAAAATTATCCTATTTTCAGAGAGTACTCATAGCTCAGATACTTCAGGAGCCCATTTTTCTAGCTATATAAAGATAAGCCCGCCTAACCCTGGACAGATAAGGAAAATGGTGGATTGAGAAATCCCTAATTTGTTTCAATGAGAGGAAGAAAGCTTTCTCCTCACTTCTAGAGTCTAGGAGAAAATTCATTCTTTTAATCAGTCAGTCGTTACTTATTTTGTACCATCATGTGCTGGTACTTTAGGAAAGATAAATATGACACATTTCCTGCCACAGAAGAGTTCAGTCTGCCCGGGGACCTGCCACGAAAATCAGTAATTGCCAAATATTATGATACAATAGAGGCATATGCCTAAGTTTTATGTTTTGAAGAAAAAGAAAGCAGAAAATGACAAATCCTTCAGAGCAGTAGGATGGGGGTCTGAGTAGAGAAGAGGAGGGGTGACATCACGGGGTATTAGGAAAAATAAAAGATGAAGGGGAAAACAGATCTTCCACAGGAACAAAAAGATTAAAAACTCAGTTACATTTAACTGAGTACAGATAGCTGAATAAAGCTGTAGCAATGAACTAGAAGAAGTGCTGCAGGATTTAGAAAGCACACAGATTTGAAGTGTAGTAGCAAAGAGGACTGACTTGTAAGCAAAGATGCTTTGAGGGGAAAAAAGGGGCACAAAGGAAATTCAACCCAGAAAATCTGGTCATAACATCTTCATAAAACGTCCTAGTCTCTGGCTTAATAAAGAGGCAGATAATAACAACATATATAAAACAGGGAATTTTAGGGTTGTTGGGGTGTACTGTCGAGTTGGAAGTGACTCATAGCTGACCCTCCAGCCAAGTTTTTAGAGGTAGTAAAAATGCACGGAAAAGGGCACCGGTGGATTTGAAAAGCATGCCTTTGGGATTGCTTCCTACCATTAGGTCACCAGAGCCAAAGGAATTTAATGTACATGTGGCGAGTCAGGGGGAGCAAGGAACCTTCTCTCATATCCCACATCTTGTGGGGCCTTCACAGAGCAAGCAGGTATCTTATATACAGCTAACCCTTAAAACAGAAGGCATCAACCTTCTGAACAGTCAAAAAGCCATGTATAATTTACAGGAGATCCTTCAACTGTACTGGTTTGAACTGCACCAGTTCAAATGTCTCAAGTATCCACTTAAAAGTGCTGCACTAATCATTTCTCTAAGAGAGGAATTGTTCATGTGAAAATGATTAGCAACTGTGCTTACCACAACAGCAACTAGGGGAAAAAATCCACGCACAGGTGGGCTCACTCAAGGGTCAACTGTGCCTGCAGTGTAGCCTACCACCACTTAACTGTGACTCAGAAGCCTCGCTCCACAGTGATTAAACACAGTAAAAGAATAGAGCACCTGCGCAGAAACGAATTATTATTAAGTAGGTTGCTCTGGTGGCCTAGTGGCAAGATGTACTTAATACATCTGAGGTTTAGCAATTTTCTTCTCCTGAAGTAAACCAAGAATGACTGTAATCTACTTTCTGGGATATAGTGTTCATTCTCATGAACAGAGGAGAGTCACATCATAAAAGTTTGGACTTCCAAAGGAACAAGTCTTAGAAGGACAGCAAAATTCCCACTTAGAAGCAAGGATGGTGGCACTTTATGTCACATGCTACTGGCGAAATATCAGGAGGGGCCAGACCCTGAATGACTCTCAATGAGATGGACTCACACACTGGCTCCAACAATGAGCTCCAGCAAAGCAGGGACTGGGAGGATGGTGCGAGACTGGGCACAGTTTCATTCTCTGTACATGAAGTCACCACGTGACAATATCATAAAACCCAGGCAGCTTTTCCCAATTATCCTAATATTTTCATAGACTGAAAAATGATTTTTATGTTTAGTGTTTAATGAAATAAAGCATACCTTTATGTTGGCTGACATCTGCATTGAAGTTCAACTCCCCATCTAGATGATTATGTTCATCGTCATCTGAATGCCTAGCATGGGGATCATTATGAAGAATATGAGGATGATGGGTGTCACTCTGTTCCCCCAACAAAATACTAAACAGCTGAGAACACAAAAAAAATCCAATTGCTGATCCAAAAAGGAATATTAAAAAATTCAGCCAAGATTTAGAGGCCATTTCCCGAAAGTGTTTCTGTAAAAAAACAAAACAAAAACAACACACAACCACCAACAATTAGTAGGATGAGAAAGGTAATAAATAAATATTATACATAGAATAAAAAGTAGTAACTTTTAGTTCTAAGAAGATGAAGTACAGTTGCGTCTGTTAGTGCTAGAGTTTTCAATGGCTAATGCTTTGGAAGTTGCCTGCAGGCCTTCCCTCTGAGGCACCTCTGAGAGCCTTCAAACCTCCAACTTTTCAAGTTAATGGCCAAGTCCAAGTATGTTAATCATTTTCATCAAACTGAGACTTCAATAATTTGACTCAACAATTATGGTGGTTAATTATTCCACTCATAAAAGAGAATTTTTCTAATAGTACTTAACTTGGGATTCTTCCCAGACTAAGTTTCAAACTTACAGACACAAATAGCTACTAGATATTTCCACTTAGACCACAAAATCGAAGTCAATACTGTTGAGTCAGTTCCAACCCACAGGGACTGACTTCCCAACCCAACCCACTGCCTTTAGTTGACTGACTTCACACCCCTGCTGTGGAGGACAGAGTAGAATGGTCCCATGAGGTTTCCAAAGCTGTCATATCTTTCTGATCTCAGAGCAGCTGATGGATTCAAATTGCTGTCCTTTCAGTTAGGAGTGGAAAGCTTAACCAAGTGCACCACCCAGACCATCTGAAAATCTCCACCCAAACCCAGCCAACCCAAGATTATCAAGTCAAACTCAGATCACCCTAGAAGAACTGCACTATGGGATTTTGAAGGATGTAAATCTTTCTGGAAGGAGATTGCTACAACTTTCACACAGCTGCTAAGTCCGAATTTCAGATGCTGTGGTTTAGCGGCTGAGTTCTTAACTGCACCATAGTCTCTTACCTTGTTGTTGTTGTTGTTATGTGCCATTGAGTTAACTTGGACTCACTGCAATCACACTTAGACCATATCAAATCAAAGCTGTTGCCACTGAGTCTATTCCAAGTCACAGTGATCCTCCATCAAGTTTGTAAGGCTGCAAATTTTTACAAAAGAAGACTGCCTCTCTTTCTCCCATGACGTGCCTTGTGGCCTCAAACCACTGATTCAGCAGCCCAGCAAGAAATGCACTGAAACATCATGGCCCTTAACTGTACGTACCATCCCACTAACAATTCTCCATTGAGTTTCTGAGTAAACCTGTGCCATTTCACTAACTCTCCACTGGGTTTGAGTAAATCTTTACGCAAGGAGCCTGCCCAGCTTTCTCCCTTAGTGACTCTTGTTCAGCAGCACAACATGTGCAACACTATGCCACCAGGGTTCTTTTCTTGAATTCAACATGTTCAAAAGGAATCATCTTATGCCCTTAAACCTGCTCAGCTTCTAGAAACTAATGGTCATCTGTTAAATAAACCACCCATTTAAATTGGAGAAATTAGGGAGACATCTTTAATTCTTTCCTTACTTTCTTCCTAATCCAATTACCAATTCATGTCACTTTTAGTTCTTAAATACTCGTTTAATATATCATCTCCTCTCCACTTCCACTACTTCGCCTACTTCAGATCCTTATTAGTTGCCTGCCATTATTAGGTGCTGTCAAGTCAATTTCAAATGATAGTAACCCCATGCAGAATGGAATAAAACACCATCCTCATAGCTACTGTTGTTCTTGAGTCCACAGTTTTAGCCACTGTGTGACTGGTCTTTCTTTTTTTCTACTGATCTGTTCTGTGATTCTACTATCCCTATTATTGTCCAATGGAGAGCTGGTACCAGCAGCCAGGAGATCAAGAGATGTTTTGCACTGGGAAAGTCGATAGTTGGGGACTTCTCCAACTTACTGAGGAGCAAAGATGTCCTCTGAAGACTAAGGTGTGCCTGATCCAGGCCATGGCTGTTTCAGTCACTTGCTGCACATCTAAGTGCCGGACAACAACTAAGGACGATAGAGAAAGAACTGATGCTTTTGAGTTGTAGTGTTGGAAAATAATACTGAATATCCCACAGCCTGCCAAAAGAACAAAGAGATATGTTCCAGAGTGAGTACTCCTTGGAGGCAAAAATGACAACGTTTTGGGAGCTCTGGTGGCCTAGTGGCAAGAAGTTGCGCTGCAATCCAAGAGGTATGCGGTTCAAATCCACCAGATGCTCTGCTGGAGAAGGAGGGACAATCTCCTCCTGAACCAGTCAGATCCAATTTGATGGTACATGCACAAAAAAATTATTAAAAAATTTTTTAAAAAATGACAAAGTTTTGTCTCATATACTTTGGCAGGTTGATAGGAGGGGCTTATTCATTAGACAGGGATCACACTCTTGGAAAGAGAGTCAGCAAAAGAGAGTGGGGCTCTCAAGCAGATGGACTGACACAATGACTGTAGTGAGCTCAAGAATGTCAAATATAATAAGGAAGGCACAGGATAGGTCAGAGTTCAGATCTGTTGTTCACAGGGTTGCAATGAGATATACATGACTCAATAGCCTGTAACAACAATAGTAACATTTCCCCTCAATTCACTCTTATTCTGTTACCATAATGGCCAAGCTAAATTAAAAGTTGGCATCACCTTACAAATCCTCACATGGGTCCTTGTGGTCTACAAGACAAAAATAAAACCTTTTAAATTAATGAGACACAGGAGAGTCAAAGTCAGTGATTGCTGAGGAGTTGGAACCATTTCATAGCAAGACTGTAAACTGCACAGGAGACTGCCCATCTTTTTCCTAAGGAGCAACTGGTGAATTCACAATGAATGACCTTGGTGCAGCAGCCCAACTCTTTACCCACTAGCTCTCCGGAGCTCCATACAATATACAGGCTCTCCTTAGACTCAGTAAAGGTAGATAGTCTCATTTTTTGCTACTTTGTGAGCAATAATTTATGCCTTAGCAATCTTGATCTATCCATATGATGAAGTGCCCTAAACATCTCACTGTAGTTGGTTCCTCAATTTCTACTGGTTCTCTTTCCTTCATTATCTATGTCCCAACCCTGAGTCTCATCAACCTGAGTGTTCAATCTGGGTATTCCTGTACTTTGAGCTGGGTAATTCTTTGTTGTAGGAAGTGTCCTATTCATTGTTAAATGACTAGTAGCATCCCGGGCCTCTATCCAGTGCCAACTGCCCCAAATGTCTGCAAACCGAAAACCCACTGTAGTCCAGTAGATTCAGATGCACAGAGACCAAGTAGGACAGGGCAGCTGGTGAGTGTGAACTTCCAACATTTCATTTAGTAGTCAAAGGAATGAATGGTACTCTGTCACCAGTGATAATGTCCCATGTTGAGGGAGGACACAAATTGGTCTAAGAGCCACTCCATTGATTAAGAACATCCACGGGTGATAATACTTGTTATTTAAATATACACAGAAAAGTACTTAAAGACAAGTTGACTCTGAGGAAGAACACTAAGTGACAGAATTAACTAGAATGAAAGGGGAGGGGGGGAAAACCCTTTATTTTCTTTATTCGGTCTGTTTTTAAAAGTAGCCAAAGTAACTACTCCTATTAAATCTTGGATCATGTCATTCATCTGCCCAAAACTTGTGTCTTCCTACCCCAGAGAGAAATTCCTAACCTTAGATGATTTTAACACAATCTGTCTTCCTATTTTCACTCCATTCGTTCTGATTTTTCCTTTCTGTATTTGGTTCTTTTGAAGGTTAAAAATTAATAAACAGCAGCAACTGCATGAGATAAAACCTTGCTGTAGATGAGTTCTGGACTCCTTACTGTTCTCTGCTAGGAATGCAAACACACTGCTCACTTTCAACCGCCTTCTTTTCAGAAAGTCTTCCCTACGTTACCTATCAATAATGCTCACTCACTGACACCAAGCCAAAACTAGCTCACAGCTGACCCTCCAGCAGGTTTTCAGAGGCCGGAAACAGCACGGGAGGATACTGTCCATCTTTCTCTGGTGGCATCCACATGTAGTGCATTATGAATTTTATTTGTTCATCTTACTGTCTTTCGTCTTCATTGTGACCAATTGATTCTCAAACGTAAGTCAGCAACAAAACCAACTAGAATGCTTGGTTAGTAGATCATTTCCAGAGCATGACATTTTGCCATTTCTAACACATTCCCAGGTTGTAGTTATGCTGTAGATCGAGAGGTCATATTTTGGGAATCAATACTGAATATAAACTCCATGTGAACAGACATTTAGTAAATGAATTTACAATCACAACACTCTGCACCTACTTAACACTGTGCTTAAAATTTCATGAACATTGTATAAGTGTGCCCTGCTTTTTGAAAGTTTGATTTATGCCATTTCATTTTTTATTATTATTTTTTTATTTTTTAATGTGTGTACCGTCAAATCGGATCTGACTGGTACAGGAGGCGATTATTCCTCCTTCTTCAGCAGAGCATCTGGTGGATTTGAACTGCATACCTCTGGGATTGCAGTGCAGCTTCTTGCCACTAGGCCACCAGAGGTTGCCACCATTTCATTTTTATAAAAGATATATATTGGTTCCTATTCCACTGAATGAAAAAAAATCAAAGAGGATTCTTATGGATTGGATTTGAGTCTCCTCAAAACATGTGTTTATTTGGCTGAATCAGTGTTCTGGATGTGATGATGCAATGTGGCAGTTATGCAATGATCCCCCATGATCTGATGTAAGCCATTCAGTTGAAGAAGATCAAGAGTGGGATGCAACATCTTCCATCCCATTACAGCTCTGATCCTATTTAAGAGGAGTTTTCTCTGAGTTGTGGCCTGTAACACCTTTTATCTTATAAAAGATGAGAAAGCAGCAGTCAGAGCAAGGGAATCTCAGCACCTCCAAGAAAGAAGAGCCAGAATCAGAGCGTATCCTTTTGATCCAGAGTTTCTGTATGGTGAGCCAACCTCTTAAATCTAGCATAAGACTGATGCCAAGAGACAGGGAGATTGCTAAGGAATGCCAGATCTACAAATGCTGAAAGGCAACAGAGACCCTACAGAACAGATGGAAAGCCTTCCCTTATTGTAGCAGATACCTTGAATTTGGACTTCTAGT